TATTTGTTAATCTATTTTGTGAAAGCGATTGGTTTTCTGTAGCATTTGCGTTATTTAGTCCATATTTCATCGCATGGATAAACTGTTAGAAATCAAGATGTCGGAACTAATGTATTTCGAGCATTTTTCGAGAGGGAATCGCCAGAACAAAGGAATTATTTGAGGGTAAAATACACAGTATAATGCAAGTAATCTCTCTCTCTCTCTCTCTCTCTCTCTCTTCTCTCTCTCTCTCTCTCTCTCTCTCTCTCTCTCTCTCTCTCTCTCTCTCTCTCTCTCTCTCACACACACACACACACACACACACACACACACACACACACACACACACACACACACACACACACACACACACACAACACACACACATACACATACACTCCCCTCCCTCTCCCTCTCCTCTCCCTCTCTCCCTCCCCCTCCCCTCCTCCCCTCTCCCTCCCTCCCCTCCCTTCCCTCTCCCTCCCTTCCCTCTCCCTCCCTCCCATCTCCCATACGCACAAACAAAACAACCAGCAACACAAACGCACGCACACACAACCTTTCCATTACGTTGTGGTAACTCTGTAATGACCTTTTAAAGCACGTTGTGTGGAGCCTTCATCAGGTCTGAATGTCGCGGGTGAAAGTGGTCCCTTGGGGGGGGGGGGGAGAGGAAAGATGAAGAGGAGTGAAGGGGAAGAAGAGGAAAGAGGAAGAATAGGGGAGGGAAAGGAGAGGAGAGAGCGTGGAGAAAGGGGAGGGAAAAGCGAGAAAAGGGTGTCGGGAGAGAGGGAGGGAGATAGGAGGGGAAAAGAAGAGGAAAAGGAGTGAAGAGAAAGAAGAGGAAAGGGGAAGAATAGGGGAGGGAAAGGAGAAGAAAGAACGTAGAGAGGAGGGAGGGAAAGGAGAGGAAAAGGGGTGAAAAGGGTGTAAAGAGAGGGAGGTAGGAAAGGAAAAAGAGCGAAAGGAGGATGAGAATAGAGGGTTAGGGGAAATGGGGCGAAGAGAAGAAGGAGGAGGGAGAGAGAAGTAAAAAAGAGAAGAAGGTTGTGAAGGGAGGAAGAGCTGAAGGGGACGGAGGGGAAAAGGAGAAGAAAAGAAGACATGAATAGTCAGAAGAAAGGAGGGGAAGGGGAGAGGAGAAAAGGGAAATAAAAGGAGGGAGAAAGGGGAGAAGAGGTGGAAGAGGAAAAGGGAAGTGAGAGAATAAGAGAAAGGGGAAGGGGAGAGGAAAAGAAGAGAAAGAGAGAGCAACAGGGAGAGGGAGAAGGGAGGCGGGAGTTAAGGACAATAGAAGTCCAGAAAGAGAGGAGAAAAGACAGAGGGGGAGGTGAGAGGGAGAGAGGAGGATGGAGGGGTAAAGAGAGAGATGAAAGAGAAGGGAGAGGTCTGAGTAAAAGATGAAAGGAGGGAATTACGGAAGAGGTTAAGGAGAGGGGAGAAGTGAGAGAGGAAAGAGCCCGGTGGTCGTGTGTGATCTTAACGAAGTTGAAAAACCACGTGGCTGATATTAATCTTAAAAGAAAAGGAAAAAGAAAAGGAAAAAAAGTTTCTGCGAGAGTCCATTGCAAAACATGTTTAAAGTGACTATAGGAAGACTTTCCCCTTTGTCCCTCTTTTTCTAGTCATATTCTCTCTCTCTCTCTCTCTCTCTCTCTCTCTCTCTCTCTCTCTCTCTCTCTCTCTCTCTCTCTCTCTCTCTCTCTCTCTCTCTCTTTCTCGCTCTATCTCTGCCATTGTAATTAAATTAAATATTCTTAATTCACCTGAACTCTCTCTTTTTGTCTGTAGTGGTGTGTGTGTGTGTGTGTGTGTGTGTGTGTGCCTGTCTGTCTCTTTCTCTATATCTTTTCTATCTCTCCTTTTCTCCTTGCATTAATTTCACAACCGTCTTCATCTTTATTCTGAGTCTTCGGTCAATAAACGAATCTTCGAAGAATCGGTCTCGAACATTCGTCTCGAACGATCTCGAACCTTCCGTCTCGAACCTTCTCGAACCTTCTTGATCCTCCGACTCAACCGATCTCGAACCTTCTCAAACCATCGTCTCGAACTTCGCACCTCGACGATCTCGAGCCCTCACAAACCTAGTACTCGAACCTCTGTCTCAAACGATCTCGAACCTTCTCGAATCTCCGTCGTCTCTCGAACCTCTGCCTCGAACGATCTCGAACCTCCTTCCCGAACGATCCCGAACCTTCTCGAACCCCTGTGAAACCACCCATACCAGCCCATTAAGTACGTGACTTACGACGTCGCTGTAGATTATTGGGTGTTGCCTCCCCTCCCCCCTTCCTCCCCCTCCACCTTAAAGTTTCCTCTTCGCCAAAACTATTTCACTGATTGATGGTTGACAAGAGCACGTAAAAAGGGTTACATCAATTTTCCTGGTCAGAGTACCGTTAAGTATTCCTTTTTTCTTTCTTTCTTTTTTTTGAGGGGGTTGGGGGGGGGGCGGGTTATAGGTTCGTATATCATTTCCTCTTTCGCGGTCTTTATTTCGTGATCTTTTTCTTGTTTGTTTCCCATTTTGTCTCCCATCTTTCGTTTCTTTTTTTCTTTTTTCTTCATTATTATCATTTTATATATATTTTTTTCCTTCGCGTTCCTTATTTCGTAATCTTCTCATTCTTCATTCCCATTCTCTCTCCCATCTTTCCTCTCCCCTTTTCTTCCCCCCTCTTCCTTCTTGTTTATCATCATTTTCTCTCTTTGACCGTGTCCCGCCAAGGCCCTGACCTCAGGCGACGGCAGGGAGGCCAGAGGAAGTCGCCATTTGCCGCCGACGCCGCAACAAAAGGCGCCGAGAAGATTCCATTCCTTTTTAACTGCCCGTATAAATCTTATATATTCAGAAGAGATAAGGAATCCGACGCTCTTATCCCTTATTTCCCCTCTCTCTGTGGCTCCTTTCTCTTCCTCTCTCTCTCTCTCTCTCTCTCTCATCTTTCTGTTCCTCTCTCCCTCTCTCTCTCTACTGCTCTTTAAAGCCTCTCGGGATTATGGCCCTTATGTGCCACGAGAATAGAGTCGTAAATCTTTACCATTCTCTAAAGGAGTAGATGGGAGGGGG